TAAGTATGTGTCATATTAATTTTTAATAAACCACGTATTATTCCTTTTTTCCTCCCTCTCCCTGCTTCGCCTTTTATTATCATTATTTTTTTAAAAAAGAGTTTAGGAATATCTAGCTTGAGCCACAGGTAGCTCGTTTGGTTTTTTTTTTCTCCATTTTCTTCTCAGTGTAGTGATACTACTTCCCTAAATTCACTGAAACCAGCAAGTGTGTGATTGGGATGAATGTCATCTTTTGGAATTGGTTTATTTAAAATCCTGAGTTATGGGCTAGTTCTACCTAGCTGTTAGTTTTTTACATTGTAAGGTCTTCTCATTTCCTAACTTACTGCAAACCGAAATCTAGATTTGATAATCCGTGGTTTCTGGACTTCGTTTACATGTATCTCCCCATGTACTTATCCTTGTGAAAATAGTCCCCCACGTCACTTCTTCTGTCTCCTCTTTACCCTTGTGAGCTGTTGGTGGTGGATGAGATTAGACAGGACTGTCGCTCAGAGCAGTGACGTCACTTAGAGCCTCTCCCACGGGCAGGTATATGATCCTGGGCAAAGCACGCAATCTGTTTCTTTCAACAACAGTCTTTACCATTGCTCTGTGCTCCTAATGAGGATTCATTGAGTCTTCGTTGGAAGAAGAGTGTGTACATTATTAAGACTGATGCTCTGCGGAGCTAAGCCCCAGAGCGCGCTGATTGCTTTCTTCATCATTGCATGTCCCTGATTTCTTTGGAACCCATAATTATCACCCCAACCCTCCGTCATTTACTTTGTTTGCAAAGTAGCTATTACACATTCACTGCCCAAACTCTGCCTGTTGTTTAAATTTCCAAGATGCTGTTTGTTAAATTTTCAACATGCTGCTTCCCTTCATGGATTCCAGCAGTTTCAGCTAGAAGACTCTTGTTCCTCGGACCTTCTCATCTGCCCCAGCCTGTTACGGTTGTCTGTTGGCCTGGGATATGGTCTAGCATGTTCCTTTACCATCATCCTGGGATATACCTTTTCTGATTCTTATATCTCCCCCCCCTTAAAAAAATTTTTTTTAACATGTATCTATTTTTGAAAGACAGAAACAGAACCCCAGCAGTGGAGGGGCAGAGAGAGAGGGAGACACAGAATCCGAAGCAGGCTCCAGGCTCTGAGCTAGCTGTCAGCACAGAGCCCGACGCAGGGCTCGAACCCACCAACTGTGAGATCATGACCCGAGCCAAAGTTAGACAACTAACCGACTGAGCCACCCAGGCACCCCTCTATCTTCCCCTTTGTTAGTTTATACTTTAGGGTTTTTGGTGGTGGTGGTTACTTTCTTAAAGTAAACTACCCCCACATTGGAGCTTGAACTCACAACCTTGAGATTAAGAATTGCAGACTTCCATGTCTTAAGGTGCAGAATTTTTTCTTTTACCTTTAATGAACTTAATAATTCATCTGGTTCAAAGAATTCTCATGTGGAATTCAGTTGCCTTCAGCATGGTGAAGGTATTGCTTCGTTATGTGCGTTCTGTGGCTGGTTTTCATGAAATGTGAAAACCTTCTGCTTCCGAGGCCGGTCTATGTGGCTTATTTCCCCCCCTCTGGAAACCTATGTGGATATTCTTTTTCCCAATATTTCATGATTCGCGAATGTGTTTTGGTGTGGATCTGTTTTCGCCCACTGTGTTGGTATTCCAAGGAGTTTTCAATCTGGAAACCGTTCTTTGTTTGTGAGAAATAATCTTTGGCTATTTAATTCCTTGCTTCCATTTTTTTTTCTGTTTTGCCTTTCTGGAGGTCTGGTTTTCAGATAGTGGATCTCCTAGTCTGGTTCTCTAAATTTACTATTTTTTTTCCCTCTAATTTCCCCACCAGTTGGTTTCCCTATTTGCTTAACTCCCTGAGAGTTTTCCTAAACTTTATTTTCCAATACTTCCATTGAGTTTTTCAATTTTCCCTATCATGTCATTAATTTTTTTAAGAGCTCATTTTCATTTGCTAAGTGTTCCATTTATGTGGCTTCTTATTTTTTCTAGTCCCTGTTGTGAGGCAGACCTCCCCAAAAGTATTAGAATAAACATTTCCATTTTTATTTTTGGTTCACATTCTGTGGGTCAGGAATTCAGATAAGACTTGAGTGACTTAAGAGCTGAAGTCATCCGGTGGCTTCTTCATGTACATGTCTGGCACCTGGGCTGGGATGAATGAAGGCTAAGTTCACCTGGGACCATTGACTTGGGTACCACGAACTCTCCCTGTGGCTTTTTACAACAGTGAAGCTGGTTCTGAGGGGAAATTTCTGGAGAGCAAGTTTTCCAAGACAACTGCATAGTTTTTGGGGGTTTTTTTCCAGTAGGCTCCGCACCCAGCATGGTGCCCAACTCCAGGCTCCCACTCACAACCCCAAGATCTGGACCTGAGCTGAAATCAAGAGTCAGACTCTCAACCGACTAAGCCACCCAGATGCCCCGGAAGCAGCATAGTCTCATGTGGCCCGGCCTTGGTGGCCATATAGGGTCACTTCTGCCAAACTCTACTGTTCAGTGTATTCATGAGATTGACCAAATTCAAGGGGAAAGGAATTTTGACTGTTTTTTGATTGTAGAACGCATGGGCACCCTGTGAAAGAGCGTATCGGGTGGGAGTGTTGTTCTGTCTGTTTTCAGGCTGTAGAACCTGTTTTTGATTACTGGCTGACTGAATACAATATTTTTTCTTATCTCTCCGAGGACATTATTATGAATTTTCCTCCCTATGCACAGTCTGTTTTCTTTGAACATTTGGGGAAATATCCAATTTAAGCAGCGTATTTCACGGTTGACTCGGGTGGATTTCCTAGTAAATCAACTCCTGCACTGGCTTGGCTGTCCAAGCGCTAGGAACTGATAGCTGGAAATAGTGAACTGATAATAGTGAAGGAGATCTCCATACCTGTTGTCTTTGGGTTCACATATCCCACTGTTGCCCAGTGGGAAACCCTGGTGTGCCCCAGTCTGTGGAGACGAAATCTTGGGTCTTGGCCAGGTTTCGGAGAGAGATCTGTTTTGATTTGTTTGTCTTTTATTTTTTAAAAGTTTATTTATTTATTTTGAGAGAGACAGAGACAGCACAAGCAGGGGAGGTGCAGAAAGAAGGAGAGAGAGAATCCCAAGCAGGCTCTGTGCTATCAGTGCAGAGCCCGATGTAGAGCTCGCACTCACAGACGATGGTATGATGAACTGTAAGATCATGACCTGAGCTGAAACCAAGAGTCAAACGCTGACAAAATAGACTTTAAGACAAAAATTATTAGAGACAAAGAAGGACATTTTATGATTATGAAATGGAGAGAAGGAAGAAAGTCAACAAGGAACTTGAACAATAATACAAACCAGCTAGACTAACGGACCTCAGTAGAACAATTCACCCAATGTCAACAAGATACACATTCTTCTCAAGAACACATACTTGGAGCTCATTTCACCTCTTGGATGTGTGGATTAATTTTTTTTAAATCAAATTCAGGGAAGTTTTTGGCATTATTTAAATATTTTTTCTACCTCACTCTCCCCCATTTCCTGTTCCCCCACCTTTCCTTCTGCAAGTTATACTGTGCTTAATAATATTTCACAGATCTGTGAGGCTCTCTTCATTTTTCTCTCTTTTTTTTAAGATTTATTTTTTTGAGAGAGAGAGAGGTGAGCAGGGGAGGGGTGGGGGAGTGGGGGTGGAGGAAGCAGGATCCAAAGCAGGCTGTGCGCTGACAGCAGAATGTCCAGTGAAGGGCTTGAACTCACTAACTGTGGGATCATGATCACGCTTAGCCCACTGAGCCATCCAGGGACCCCCTTTGTTCATTTTTCTTATTTCTTTTTGTTCTTCGGACTGGATACTGTCACTTGACCCGTGCTCACTTCCACTGATTTTTTTCTTCTGTCAGCTCAGACCTGTGGAGCCCCTTTAGACACTTTAACAGTTAGTCACTGTACTTTGAATTCCAGATTGACACTGGGTTTTTTCTTTATAATTTCTCTCTTTATTGAAATTCACAGTTTGGTTAAATATCATTCTCATACACTTTCTTTCAGTTTTTTAGTTCTTTGAACATACTTCTAATAGTTGACTTAAGTCTATAAGTCCAATGCCCTGGCTTCTCAGGGACTTTTTTTTTTTTAATGTTTTTTAATGTTTGTTTATTTTTGAGAGAGTGTGTTTGTGTGAGCAAGGGAGGGTCAGGGAGAGAGGGAGACACAGAATTGGAAGAAGGCTCCAGGCTCTGAGCTGTCAGCACAGACCCTGACACAGGGCTCAAATTCACAAACTGAGATCATGACCTGAGCCGAAGTTGGACGCTTAACTGACTGAGCAACGCAGGTGCCCCCTTCAGGGACAGTTTTTAATTGACCACTTTTTTTCTTATATATGGGCCAGACTTGTGTTTCCTGATGTGCCTTGTAACTTTTCGTTATTGCAAAGGGACATTTTATAATGTGTCAACTCCGGAAGTCAGACCTCCGCCCCTGCCTGGCCCAGGGCTTGCTGTCGTTGCTCTTTTGTTTACCGACTCTTCTAGGTTAGTTTTCAAAAGTTTATTTTCTTTGTAGTGTGAGGCCACTTAAGTTTCTCTGCTCAGTTAGCTTAGAGATCAGATCGTTTAAAGAATTTTTTTTTAATGTTTTATTTATTTCTAGGAGAGAGAGAGACAGTGTGAGCAGGGGAGGGTCAGAGAGAGAGAGAGTCACAGACTGAAACAGGCTCCAGGCTCTGAGCTGGCAGTCAGCACAGAGCCCGACGCGGGGCTCGAACCCACGAACCGCGAGATCATGACCTAAGCGAAAGTCAGACGCTCAACAGACTAAGCCACCCAGGCGCCCCAGAGATCAGATCGTTTAATGGTTGAATTGAGATTTCCTCAAGTGTCTGAACAGGGAAAGGGTAGGAACTGCTTAGTAGCATCATTTTGTTTATGACCTGGTGTTGTAATGGTTGTGACGCTTAAGTATTTTAGCAGAATCCCCCCCACCCCCCCGTGTCTCTTGAATACAGGTCTGGTGTCGGGTGGTGGACCAGCTATAGTGGCAAGAAGATGAGCTAAGCAACTAACTCAATTACGCGATTGTGTGTAACGGCCCAATGAGCACAGGAATCTTCCCCGTGGGGACAGAATATATTGGATTTTCCAGTCATATTGGACCGTTAAACTATTCCTCGGCACCCACTTTGGGACATGCTACTAGAGGTGTGTTTTGGAAAAGCTTGACCCAAATTGCAGGTATTTTCAAACTTTGGCCATACACACAAGCGTTAGGAAAATAGGAAAGACTGTAGGGAAAGAAAGTTTAAAGGAGAGAAATGAACCAGCCATAATTTTGAGGGGATTAGTTCGCCAGCATGCTCATGTGTATGTATACTTAGGTGGGCGTTACATCCCTTCACGGATTTCCCTTGCACTTCACAGATTTTTTAAAAGGCTCATGGGACATAGCACCATCACTAAATGCCTGGTACATTTAAGAATGCTAAATGCATGAGAGGACCCTACAAACTCTGTTACCTGGAATCCAAGGACTAGGTGAGCCAGACTTTCATTAATTCTAAATGGTAAAGAAAAAATAATAATAATGTTATATAAATACACATATCTAAGTATATATGATAATACATCTTATGTATAATTACACATATATAAATACATGTATATTAATATATAATAAATACATATACATAAATACGTATATATAATAATGTTGCTTTTCATATTATTCTGTACTAATAATGACCAGTTGTTTTTATTTGTTGTTAACATTCACAATTTATTTGCCAACTAAATATAAAACATTCTAGTGCTAATCTAGTCTTTCAGTTAGAAGAGTTAGGACTTTTAGTTCTAGTGCTAAACAGTCTTAAAAACGGGTTTCAAAAAAAACAGAAACCAATTTCAAGTCTCTCTAACTCTGGGATGGAGACGATTAATAAGATTTGACTTTCTTTGTTAGCACAGGAGCGCCTAGGGGCACCTGGCCAGCTCAGTCAGTAGAGCGTGTGACTCTTGATCTCAGGGTTGGAAGTTCGAGCTCCACGTTGGCTTGTAGAGATTACTTAAAAAGAAAATTGTGGGGGCACCCGGGTGACTCAGTTAATTGAACATCCAACTCTTGATTTTGGATTAGGTCACGATCTCGCGGTTTGTAGGATCAAGGCCCACATCAGGCTTCTTGTGGACAGCGTGGAGCCTGTTGGGGATTCTCTGTCTCCCTCTCTGCCCACCCCCACTGTGTGCTCGGTGCTGTCTGATTCAAAATAAATAAACTTAAAAAAAATAAGTGAAATAAAATCTTAAAAAAAAAAGAACAGTAGCACTTATTAGTTATAGAACCAATTGCCATGTTATAAAATGGACTTTGGAAAACAAAACGTATTTTGTCATATTTGTAAACATAATAGAAATGGGTTGGGTTCCTTTGAGTATAGACAAAAGGTCTGTCGTACATTATCATTTGTGTACAACTGCTGCTTTTCACAAGTCGTAATCATTCTAGCCTGTTAAAAGCGATGCAGGAAATGAAAGGCCGTGTCTCTCTTTTGGACTCTGTGTCTTCTCTTCCTGCGGTGCCTCGGTATGAAACTGCACTAAGAGAGATTCAAAACAGGCCCGAATCAGGCCTTTCTGGTTTAGTCTGAAAATTCGGTGGACTTGTTTTTCCCTCAGAGATTCTTTAGACATGACAGCTATTTTTGAACTTATCCTGAAGAGCACCTCCAGTCCTAAACTGGTGAGGAGCAAATATGTGAGGTCTTCACACATTTGGGGCTGGGGATGCCAACTGATGGACATTAAGGGGTGTGTCCGGATGATGTCAAGGCAAAGGGTGCTACTTAGAGCAAAAACTCACGTCACCAACTATGGAGAGTTAAATAATTATAGCTTAGGTCTTCAACTGTGATTTGTATACTTCAATATTCCTGAGGGTAAGATGTTTATCATAGGATATTTTAGCACATCCTTGTACCTATATTTTTTTAGATTTTATTTTTAAGCAATGTCCACATCCAACGTGGGGCTTGAACTCACAACCCTAAGATCAAGAGTTGCATGCTTGGGGCGCCTGGGTGGCTCAGTCATTTAAGCGCCCGACTCTTGATTTCGGCTCAGGTCATGATCTCACGGTTCATGGGTTCGAGTCCCGCAGCAGGCTCCGCACTATCCGTGCAGGGCCTGCTTGGGATTCTTTCTCTCTCTCTCTCTGCCCCTCCCTGCTCACGCTTTGTCTCTCTCTCTCTCTCAAAAATGAATAAATATTTTTTTAAAAATTGCATGCTCTACCAACTGAACCAGCCAGGCACCCACCCCCCCTTGAATTCTTTTTTACTAATCTAGTATTAATATTACAGACTATGTACCCTTTTCTTCTGATTGGCCAATTTTCTTCTATTTTAAATATCTGACCTCCTAGCCAAGAGGACGGATTTTAAACCTGAGAAGATGTCATCACAGACCATATTTATCTATATTCCTTCTATTTTTCTTTTAGTGCCGTTCTCCATTTCAAGCCGCCTTTGCAGTCTTGATAAATGCGAACTGACAACTCGCAAGGTCATGAGAGAAGAGAAATCATGACTGCCTGAAGCCTGGAAGCCCGCCCTTAATTAAGGAAAATCCTCCATCATTGTTTGAAATGCTGAGAAAGTTGTTGCGAAGGAGACTTTTCTCTTATCCCACTAAATACTACTTCTTGCTTCTTGTTTTTTCCCTTGTCACCTTCTCTGTTTTAAGAATTCATCAGAAGCCCGAATTTGTAAGTGTGGGGCATTTGGAGCTGGTGGGGGAGAATCCTAATAGTAATATTAACTGCACCAAAGTTTTACAGGGTGATGTAGATGAAATCCAAAAGGTACAGCTTGAAATTCTAACCGTGAAAGTTAGGCAGCGCCCTCGATGGACAACCAGTGACTATATAAACATGACCAGAGATTGTAACTCATTCATCAAGAGGCGCAAATATATCGTTGAACCCCTTAGTAAGGAAGAGGCAGAGTTTCCCATTGCCTATTCCATAGTGGTTCATCACAAAATCGAGATGGTTGACAGGCTCCTGAGGGCCATCTACATGCCTCAGAATTTGTACTGCATTCACGTGGACAAAAAATCCGAGGAGTCCTTTCTGGCCGCGGTGATGGGCATTGCCTCCTGCTTCAGTAATGTCTTCGTGGCCAGTCAGCTGGAGAGTGTGGTATATGCCTCATGGAGCCGGGTCCAGGCCGACCTCAACTGCATGCAGGATCTCTACCAGATGAGTGCACACTGGAAGTACTTGATAAATCTTTGCGGTATGGATTTTCCTATTAAAACCAACCTGGAAATTGTCCGGAAGATCAACTCGTTAATGGGTGAAAACAACCTAGAGAGCGAGAGAATGCCATCCAATAAAAAAGAAAGGTGGAAAAAGCATTATACAGTTGTTAATGGGAAGCTGACCAACACGGGAACTGACAAAACGCACCCCCCTCTCGAAACACCTCTGTTTTCAGGCAGTGCCTATTTTGTGGTCAGCAGGAAGTATGTGGAGTACGTGCTGGAGAATGAAAAAATCCAGAAGTTTATGGAGTGGGCAAAAGACACATACAGTCCTGATGAGTATCTCTGGGCCACTATCCAGAGGATCCCCGAAGTCCCCGGCTCGCTGCCCTTAAGCCAGAAGTATGACATGTCTGACATGCATGCCATCGCGAGGTTCGTCAAGTGGCAGTACTTTGAAGGTGATGTTTCCAAGGGTGCCCCCTACCCGCCCTGCAGCGGGGTCCATGTGCGCTCCGTGTGTGTTTTCGGAGCAGGTGACCTGAACTGGATGCTACGCAAGCACCACTTGTTCGCCAACAAGTTTGACACCGACAATGACCTCTTTGCCATCCAGTGTCTGGATGAGCATCTGAGACATAAAGCCCTGGAGACATTGAAACATTGACTCTTCGTTGTAGGCAACTTGAGAAGTAAGACACATGTGTGAAGCGCACCCCCTCTGACTCTTCCATCTTGCTAATACACATCAGAGAAACTATAGGGGATGCTCTTTGGGGGGTGGAGGGGACTCCTGCTGCGCCCGTCCTCCGAGCTATGCGGCTTTGGAGCACAGTGGGTTCGAAAGGTTATAGCATCAAATATTGACCTAGACTTAGCGTGGGGCCAGGGGAGGCGGTGAGTGGCCCAGGTGGCTGGGGGAAGACACAGTACAAAAACCAGCCTGTTAAAGAGCTCAGGGACTTAACAAAATGATTTCGTCTGTGCCAAAATTCCTTCGAGAGCTTTAAATATGACAGTTTTCTTGATTTGAATAAATTTATAGCAACAACCGAGTGTAAGGATATAGTTTATCCTGCAGGATTTGTTCGGTGAAATAGAAATTGGACTTTAAGTGATCGTTGTGAATACTTTATTGCTATAACGTTATGCAGTGTAATTGTATATCAGTATGTGTCATCTCAGGGAACTTGAAAAAGTGGGCTTGATTGATCGTGAATCTGACTAATTTTCCCTTCTAACAATGGATAGATGTTTTTTAAAACAACAAAAAAAGTGGCGATGTTTAGTTGATTCTGTGAATCATCTTAGCTTATTAGAAAAGATATCTTAGGTTATTTAAAAAGTTAAGATATCTTTGTTGTTATAATGTCTACAGAGAAACACTCAATTTTTCCAAATATTTTTCTCTACTTTTTCCCCCTGGTCTCCTCAGACCCTGTTATCAAACTGTACTGTATAAAAACTTGTGTTCAAGGGCGCCTGGGTGGCTTAGTCGGTTGAGCATCCGACTTCGGCTCTGGTCATGGTCTCATAGTTCGCGGGTTCAAGCCCCGCGTTGGGCTCTGTGCTGACAGCTCAGAGCCTGGAACCTGTTTTGGATTCTGTGTCTCCCTCTCTCTCCACCCCTTCCCCACTCAAACGCCGTCTCTCTTTCTCTCTCTCAAAAATAAATAAACATTAAAAACATGTTTTAAAAAAACCTTGTTTTCATAGTGCCTCATATTACTTGCCTCAGTTCTCTTTTGTGATTCAGGTGATCGTAATCCGTGCAGGGATCTCAGACCGAAAGGGTGAGGTAGGTATGGGAGTGGCAAGAGAGGCACCCTACGTGGGCAGTTTCCAGGGACTGGGAGGCGTGTTTTTAAGCCCCAGTCCGTCCTGTTTCCAGAAATCAAGGCTGTTGCTCTTTGGATCCGCTTGTGTCCAGCGTCCCAGGGGCTTGTGTCCTAATGTCAACTGTGTCTCCATTTGAAAAGGACTGGCTTCTGCCCTTGCTTCTTTCTTCATGCTTCCTGCCCCTTGGTTGGTCCTTAGCCTTCCGATTAGCAGTTGGCTTCTCTCTCTCGGACCCCAACCCCAGCGCTGTTGTTGCACATGCGTCCTTGAAGGCCTGGGAATCCCGAGGGGAACATCAGGTTTGGGGCACGGGGTTTCAGGGTTGGTATCATTCACAGCGTATGGTTTCTGCTCTCCTTTTCCACCAAAGGCCAGTGTGTGGAGGTGGCTCTTGTGCTATCTCGGCTCTCAAAATTAATGAAGATTAGAAAGAAAAAAGAAACCTGCTCTCTTGATAAGCTGATACTGTTCAGACAAAGGTCTACCAGGAAATGTGACGCTCTATCATTTAGCTGAGTCTTTGAACAGCAATAAACGGTTTTCAGGCACTCAACTGAGAAGCCTTTTTTTATTCCTTCAAGTTAGGAAACCTTTTCGTTTTATGGAGAGAGCTTTGTTACACTGACCCTCCTGAACGAAAGTTTCACATCTTTTAAACCTTTGTCGTCACGTGTAAACGCGTCAGTAGATTACTGTGTTTCGCATGATTAGATAGCGCAGCCGGATGCTGGCTCAAAAAAAAGTACTCTGAAAACTCAAAAGATGAGGTCAGTGAGGGCATTAGGTGATAGTGCTGTCTCTTTTCATTTCAATTAGTTTTTTCTTTTGATGCATGTCACATGTTTCTCCCATGCTCTTTGCAGAAGGATTTACCTCCTGGATGGGTCCCTTTTTTTCCTCTAAAATCAGTGATATTCATTGGCAAATAGTTTATGTCTCTGTCTTTTCACTTTATTCATGGTGCTTTTTATGTACATTTTTTTCATGTCTTATTTTGAAAATTCTCAAGTTTACCGAAAGTTAAAAATAAGAGTACAGTGACCACCAGATGACCCTCACTCACCTCAAATCACTGGTCTCTCACGTTGTGCTCCATTTATTTAAATTATATGGATTTTTGAACTTAGCAAAATTGATGATCAAGACTATCTTTTGAATTTCCAAATATCCAAGGTTATTTACCTCAGCACTGTTTTTGTAGGGTGACTGCCTCTGATCTGCATTTAAATGGGCAGGTTTTGAGAGGTTTTTCTCCACCATAGATACAAAAATAAGACTTTAGCACCTCATTTCCCCAAGTCTCACAGTAAAACTATGGACCTACTGTCCTTTATATAGCTGTGGTACCTCAACTTTCTAGAATGGCACTTGGTGAGATCCGTCTGAACATAACCTGTTGCTAATGCCTGTTATAGGGACTATATAGAATTTTATTGTGACTCCTTTTATACATTTTAGCAAGACTTAAATAAAATTCCTGCTACTGAGACCTGGGGTGCCTGGCTCGCTCAGTCAGTAGAGCACATGACTTGATCTCTGGGTTGGCAGTTTGAGCCCCATGTTAGGTTAGAGATCACCTAATAAAATCTAACAAAATTCATACCACTGTGGGATGAGCAATGTGAAGAATCAAAAAATGGTTTCAAATGCAAGCAAAAACAAGTTCTTTAAGAAAGATCTAGAAATTATTTAAATTGTTGCCCATCCGTCAGTTATTAAACACTGCTTTTACTGTCATCAAAGGTCAAGGGAGGGAATTGTTAGGAATCATTCACAAAACATAAAACTACAATTTTGAGATGGAAGGTTTATTTTAGTGAAGTGCTGTATCCTATTACTAGATTTCTTAATAAGAACAAGAGTGGACAAAAATATCTTTTATAGGCAATTCCTAGGCTCTTCCACACTAGAGGAAGCAACTGTTAAGGTTTGCAAATGTGTTGAGAAAGAAAATTATTTCCTCTACCTGTTAAGGTTCTAGCTGGTCTAAGAATCAAATTGACATGAGACTAACAAGAGAAAATTAAACAAAGCTTAATAAATAACATGTATACCTTCTGTGTACCTGGGAGAGACCCAGGAAAACAGTAACTCCATGGCAGAGGCCATTACCTTAACTTTAAGCATCACCTTCAGCTAAAGACCAAAGATGTTGGGGAGTCCATTATGGGAGGTTACCAGAAAAAGCACAGTAAATTAGGGTAATGTTGTTAGGCAAATTTAAGTCCATGCCTTTTCCACTGATAATAGTTTCTAGAGATTCAGAGTCATTGCCCTCTTGGTACTGAAGATTTCCCTTGTGTACGTAAATACCTCTTAAAAGGGCAACTTCCTTTTGGTTTCTCTTGTGTCTACAGTTTCTTAAAAATTACCAGCTTAAAATAGTCAATTTGCCAAAGAGGACAATTAGGGGGTGGCAAAATTTGCTCCCCTACAGAGGCATTATTATCTCTAAACACGGATTTGTGTCATTCATCAGATATAATTCGCTAATGTAAGTAAATTTTCTTTTGTAGTTATTTAAGGGAAGAGGAAGCCATGTTTTAATTCACATGTAGGGTCATTTAAACTGGACTTTTGTAGTTTGTTTAGAAAAATAAAAGTAATTTCTCATCATGTTAAATAGAAAATCAATGCGGGGCGCCTGGGTGGCTTAGTCGGTTGAGCGTCCGACTTTCGCTTTGGTCATGATCTCGCTGTTCGTGGGTTCGAGCCCCGCGTCGGGCTCTGTGTTGACTGCCAGCTCAGAGCCTGGAGTCTGTTTCAGTCTGTGACTCCCTCTCTCTCTGACCCTCCCCTGCTCACGCTGTCTCTCTCTCTCTCTCTCCTAGAAATAAATAAAACATTAAAAAATATATATATAAAATAAATGCAATAGTGTTCCATGGCAAACGTGGCTTCCATAGGTTTTACTCTTTTTGATTGTGGGTGTGACTGAATGCATTTGTAACTAGGCAGATCACCATTAAAATTAGCCATTCAGAAATCAGTCCATGTCTCCACAAATTATTTTTACCTTGGCTACCAGCACTTAGTTTAGTAGTCTGCATGGTACTTCGTAACCAGTAAGTGTTGTGTGTGAGTGGTGATTAAAAACATGAATTCTCCAAGGGCACCTGGGTGGCCCCCTCAGTTGAGCTTCCAACTCTTGGATTTAGCTCAGGCGCTGATTTTGGACTTCGTGGGATCGAGGCCCTGCTGGGGATTCTGTCTCTCCCTCTCTGCCCCTCCCCCGCTTGCTCTCTCTCTCTCAAAAAAATAAACTTGAAAACAATTTAAGAAAAATTAATTCTCTAGGCAGAAATGTCTGGAGGAAAAGGGTGTGGTAATGGTGGGAAATTTAACACATTATGTGAAAAGATTCAGATGTGGCAAGGGCGAGGGGGCGCTGGGTGGCTCAGTCAGCAGAGCATCCGACTTCTGCTCAGGTCATGATTTGTGGGTTCAAGCCCCCTGTTGGGCTCTGTGCTGACAGCTCAGCGCCTGGAGCTGTTTCGGATTCTGTCTCCCTCTCTCTCCCCCTCCCCCACTCGCACTCTGTCTCTCTCTCAAAAGTAAATAAACATTTAAAAACATGTATTCGCCTCCTTGTCAAAGATTTAACTAATGTGTGCTTTCTTAAAGCTTTCAGGGATTCTCAACAGAATATTGACTTATTATTTTTTGATGCAATCGAAACTAAAAATGACTTCTAACTATTGGGAGAGAAAAGACTGTTTTCATTACTGCAGATCACATGTTTGTCCAAATAGCCCAAAAAATCTTGTCTTAGGGTTTTTATAAAATTAACCAATATATCCAGATATTCAAAAACTAAGTTTTTCCATATGCAAGGGTTTATATAAAATTAACCAATATATCCAGATATTCAAAAACTAAGTTTTTCCATATGCAAGGGTTTATATAAAATTAACCAATATATCCAGATATTCAAAAACTAAGTTTTTCCATATGCAAGGGTTTATATAAAATTAACCAATATATCCAGATATTCAAAAAACTAAGTTTTTCCATATGCAAGCAAAAAAAAAAAAAAGGTTTACAATGTTTACAATGTAATGGGATTATGTTATCATTCATCACAGCAACAAGCTCAGTAAAATGTTCAAACTTAAGACGTGTGTGGGAGAAACAGACCTGGAAAACTACATCGTGCTCCTAGATGACAAATATTTTACACATCTTTCCCAAATCAGTCCATCTATTAAATGGAAATCCAATCATATTCTCAAAGCGTTGGTAAAGTTGTTCTAACTTTTACCTATGTAAGAATAGCGAGAAGTACTTTGAGAGAGGACATTTATGAAGTCTTAAGATGCCAAATATGAACCCATGTTTTCAAACTAAAAAACTAAAAATGTATTACTAGTTTACATTTAACCTCTCAGAGACCAGTACAGCAATAACCCAGAAATAGCTGTTAGCAGTTGTAAAAATATTATAAAGGAACTGAAACTGCTTAAAAGCATAAAGTTGAACACCCTTCTTAGCCTTTTGTTTCAGAAACCTGATACCACCCTGAGGACGTGGTAGGGGAGGCTGGTGCCAGGTAAACAATTCATGGCAAAACAGGTTAGAGCCTGTATTTCCCTATAAACCCTCCCTAACCCTTTCTTCCTGGGCAGCTTGCGGATCGTGAAGGCCATAGCCTGCTGTGCACAACTTTGCCTCGCAAAGCAATAAAGCTATTGTTTGTTCCTC